GACTCCCATCCTTGTAGCATGGGGAAAGTTCACAAATAGCCACTTATACATACAACTTCAGACTCGCGAGACATATGTATCCTATTAAAGTCTAATTTTAGATAATATGTAGAGAAAAGACATAAAGTGACACCTGAAATTGTTTAGAAATTTTAAAAAGATATCTGAACTATGCGGGCGTCCTACTATCCCACTAAACAATCTTGAACTGATATTATTACATTATTTTTCGCCCACCTTACATTGAGAGTGTGTGCACTCTCTCAAAAAAGAGTGAACAACCTAAAATAATTTTATTATAAATATATTTTCTTATTATTTTACGAACTTTTTTTCCTTATTATTTTTTCTCTTTCTTTCTTCTTTCTTCTTCAAAAATTCATTGTCATCTCCATTGAAGTTTCTCACTTTCAATGTCATCATTTTTACCATAATTTCACCTTCCTTTTTTTTACTACTATTAGTTTTACTCTCTTTAATTTTAAAACTTTATCTAAATATTTTCTTACATTTCGAACAATTTGATAAACCCATTAGATTTCAAGATCATTAGGAGGTATCATATAAATTTTTTTTATCCAATTTCAATCAAGTTCTTTCAATTTTTGGGGAATTTATTGATTCTTTTTAAATTATTATTTCTAATTTTGAAGTTATATGAAAAGGAGTAATTGATAATACCATCAAAATTTTAAATTTTCTTAGAAAAATAATAAATTTTGTTATCAATAATTCAATAAAGTCTAAAAAATGGTATGATTTTTTTTAAAATAAAAAAATCATTGAAATAAAGAATTTGATTGGAGAAGAAGAAGAAAAAGAAAAGAAAAAAAAGGGAGAGGGGTTCAACTTGACGTGGGGGTGGGGTGAGGGTGGGAGGTGAATAAAAAGAAAGAAAATAAAATTAAAATTAAATTAAGTCAACAATTGAGAGAATAAGTAAAAAAATTAAGAGAGAGATAAAGAAAAAACTTAAAATGGTTTTTTTTTTTTTTATATTTTTAATTGAATTAACACGTGTCATGTAATGATTGTGTGTGAACACTTGCTTCTTAAAATCTGGGGATGATCGAAAAATGATATAATAATATCGGTTCATAATTTTTTAGTGGGGTAATAAGACGATAGTAAAGTTAAGGTGTCTTTTTGAAAATTCGGAACAACTTCAATGGTGACTTTATGTCTTTTCTCTAATATGTATGCAAAGAAACTTTGAAACTTTTGTCATTTTGTTTGAGGTTGTAAGATTATTGATTAAAAAAATAAAATTAAAAATATATATGCACGAAATTCAGTAAATTCTCCTAACTATTCTTTTTTTTCTAGACTAAATATCAAACAACGCGATCATATTAGTTATTAAAAATTTAGACAATCCTAACTATTCTTTCTTTCTAGACTAAATATCAACCAACGCGATCATATTAGTTATTAAAAATTTAGACAATCAATTCAGAATTAAAAATTTAGGTAAGCATGATCATAGTGGTGCAAAAGTAAAGAATGATGATTTCCTTCTCAACTGATGTCACAAAAGGAAAAGTATCTAAATCAAAGGCTTGTTTCATTTTGGCCTTTTGCTTGTTGAAGTTGCGCTTAAATTATGTTTGATTTGTTTTGCTTGAAGTTACTTATGGAGAAGGAGCTAAACTTTGTCAATATTGGCTACAAATTAAATATTTGAAAAAAAAAATAACTTAACTAAAAAACGTTTTTGCTGCCGTATGCATTTTTTTCCTTTTATAATATTTTGATTTAATAAACAAAGAAAAGTGCTGCTAATTCATAGTCTGGAAGTTAATAGTGATTCGAATTACAGCATATTGGCCACCTAAAACCATTTAAGCCAACTGTGAAAACATGATTATAATAAAGTGATAATTATTTTCGATATGAAGTCATTTTTTTTAGAAAGTATATCTATTTCTAAAAAACGGAGTGCCAAAACAATGTCAAGTAATGATAGTAAATTTATACCAAGAATTAGAAGATTAAACCATCCATGAAAACTAAACAAATCTTTTGTTTTCTACCCAACTTTCACTAACAACAAAATTCTCTTAATGCCGCTATACATACTCTCATAAGAACTCATACAACATCAAAGTAATCCAATTTTGCCTAAGACTAAATCCAAACGATAAATACCTCTTTTGTTTTACCTATTAACACGACTATAAGGTATAAGCTAGAATTGGAGAACCTTCCCATCGCGGGGATGTTTTACAACGCGTGAACAGATTAGTCCGACTAAGGAGTGTAGAATGCAGGGCCACACTTGCATTTCCATCCTTCAGGCTCATAATTAGTGTACTGAACTCCCACTCGACCTGTGTTGGTCGGTACTTGTATGGCTTCACAAGGCATACATCCATAGCATTTGTGCTCACAGCTTGGAGGACTTGAACCTATCAATTTCATCTCTTCGTTACTCACATTACTATTTTCTTCTACTTCCTTCACTTGTCTTTCTCCTTCTATGCTCATATTTCCCTTAAATTGAAAAAAAGAACTTGTTTAGTACTCCATTTGAATACGCTAAATCGCGAAAAAAGAGAAATCAAAAGGCAAAGGATGTCGAGAATTACCTTATTTGTACTCAATTTGTTGTGTACAGATTGTTGATTTGATGTCAATGGCCTGCAATTAACACATGATAAAGAGAGTGCAATTATGATTAGGATGAAATAGCAGAATTTACACTTCATTTTCTACTTGCACACCAAGTGTTTGTATAAACGAGGCAATGAAAGTCTGAAAGAGAAAGAGACAAAAAAACAGGGGATTTAGAATAATTGGAGATTGATCATTTGGTTCACTTCAAAGGGTGTCCATATCATGATAGCTTTATAAAGAAGGAAGCAAAGGAAAAAGAGGAGGCTCAAAATTGTCAAGCTCCCATTTCCCAAAAAGCAATTCCTCCAAAGCTCCTTGGATTTCTCTAAGCCTCTCTCACTCTGTAAGTTGTATTGGTAAAAACGAAATCTTTACTTCTCAAACAAGTGATACTACTCTTATCCTGCATCTTTCTGGCTAAAAAGCCTACACCTTTACAACTTTTTCTTTCATTTTATTTTTCTTAGTTGTACTAGTCTTGTTTTGACAACTCAATTCACCTTATGCTTTATCTATTTTCTTTCTTTCTTGTTCTCTATGTACACGTTGCTTCAAATCTTGAAATGAAACTGGAAGTACCCTTTTTAGGTTCTGAGAAACACCTGAATACAGCAGCCTATAGAAATTGCACGTTAATTAACAGGGAAAAATTGTGGGTGCCTAGACTGCAGAGCCACCTATTCCCCCTTTTGGTCATATTCTGGAACTGGACAAGAAGGAAAATCTTTCTTTAAATTCTTTTCAGTTTTTAAATTCAAGAAATAAGTACACAGAATCAATGTCTGAGAGATTCAGTACCAAAAAAAAAACTTAATTTATGTTAGTGAACAAAACTTATATATATAGTACATAATAGAATGTATGAGTAGTTAACTACTTTCATGGATAGGGAAGCGTTAGGGGCGCAGCCAAGTAGGACAAAACTTAAACCATTTTGATCTTTTTGTGTGCTTACATTTCCTATTTAATTTGAACTCCGTTATTGAAACTCTGGCTCCGCACCTGCTAGGGAGCAATGTGACCACAATAGTTTTTCTTATTATCCAAAAGGAAGAGCTTGATTTTCTATTGGATCCTGAAAGGGTTTCTGAATTTATCTATCCAAAGAAATGAAGCCTTCATTGACTTTTAGCATTAGGCTAAAGTTGAACTAAGTGAAGTAAGTGCAGCTGATTGCAGCATCACCATTGAATAATGAGTTGCAATAAATAGGGAAGAAAGAATGAGGAGCCAATAATTAAACAAACTTTTTATTTTGGTTCTTTTAACATTTTAGGTAAGAACTGTGAAACCAAACCTGGGAAGCAAGCACATATAAAAGGAAAGCTGATAAGTACCCTTCAATGCACTGTTTTTCATTTTCTTTTGCTTTAGTACTAGCTGATGAGTGGCAGTGAAGTAGCATCTGCAGACAAAGTCAGGTGTTAGCAATGTAGTATATAGCATATGGTTTTGAGATTATAGAAAATACTGTTCATTAAGTTTTTGATAAATTATTTGTTACTATCTGCTTCTTTTTTTATTTTGCCATCTTATTTCCTTGCAACCTTGCGTCGTATTATATCCTACCTACCCTAGACCATACTTGTGGAATTATACTAAATATGTTGTTGTTGTTGTTGTATTTATATATTAACTGAAGTTATAACATAAATACGGGATTTAAGCAAACCTACTTGATTCTACTGAACCCATAAGTAAAGTTGTAGCTCCACCCAGATTTTAGTATGAGTTCTTTAAAAGATTGAAGATAATAGTAAAGCCAAGGTTAGTTAAACAATATCATGTACATTTCAGAGTTCTGGGTTCATTGTGGTACTGTGTTTTTAGTATTATTTATTTTCATTGATGTTCAATCAGTGAATGATTTGATGATACACTGTGGTCTCTGTCATTCAATGACCATGCTTTCTGTGTGTTCAAGATTTTGAACAGTTTGATATATTGGGATTAGAGGGCACCAAAAAGTCCTTCCTTTTCTTCTAACAAGCCAAGAACTTTCCTATCAACTAAATATACTTCATTTACCCAAATATAATATTTTTCTGCTAGAAATAAATAACTTTTTGCTTCTACTTCTCCCCGACAGCAAAAAATTGGCTTCTACTTCTATTTAAAAGCATTTTTAGTGATTACCCAAACACGTAAATAAATGTTTTTCATTCAAAATAAGTGTTTTTGACGTTACAACAACAATGTCAAACATACTTTAACAATAAAATACAATACAACGGGTAGCAACATCCAAACAACGTGTAAAGGGTATTTTGTTGATCCGGTGCTTTTCACAATTAATAATACTTCACATCGCCTTCATTGGTTGTCTCTTTTATATGCAAGTATAATCTCCTTCTTCTTATGAACTCCTCTGGTTATATGTTTTTCTAGGCAAAACAAAACATGTGCTTTCGTTTTCCTGTACTTGTCTGAATGTCTTGTAACATTTGCAACACTTCCTTCATCTCTGGCCTGTTTTGTGGCTTTGCATCCCAACATTTTTTCATTATATCTGATAATGCTGTTGGACAACATTTTGGTATCTCAGGCCTTCGATCCTGAAATTTCCAAAACAACTCGATCGTTAGTACGCCAAATTACTCACATTTAAGTACGTACATATATATAACATGTTGAGTTTTTAACTAACTGATGAATCGATGAAAAAAGGGTAAGTACCTTATAAATTTGATTTGAGATTTTACTACGAGAAATGTGTTCAGGATATGGATCTAAACAAGTGTACATTTCCCACAAGCAAATTCCAAAGCTATAGACATCACACTTGTGATCATACGACACTTCGCTCAAAACCTGGTGAAATACAAAAAGAAAGAGAAAAAATAAATTAGTACTTCAATTAACAAAAGAAGTGTTGAAGTTCTTGTAGGAGCATGAAACTCTTAATAAAAAGTTCGAGAGAAGTGTTGGAAACACTTCTAAACTTGCCGAGAATTTAAGGGTGTATTTCATTCATGTTGCAAGATCGGGGTGTATTTAAGTTTAGTTTGTCAAGTAAAGTGGTGTTTTTAACACTACTAATTAATAATTCACGATGTGTTTTCAATATTTATCTCATAAAAAATATTTGAAAAATGATGTAACGTACCTCAGGAGCCATGTAACCCATAGTCCCAGTTGTTCCAACCATCATAGGAGGATAATCCAAGCCAAGAGAAAAGAATGGACTAGAGATTCCAAAATCAATTATCTTCACTCTTCCAGTTTTGTCAAGAAGTAAATTTTCAGTCTTCACATCTCTATGAGCAATCTTTTCTGAATGAAGGTAACTTAATCTGCAATTTATACGTATTATTATTAGATAAAAAGTTTAACATATGGTTTAATATGTTTATGAATTAGATAATAGATGAAGATGCATGCATACCCTTTAGCAACATCGATTGCAAGTTGGAGAATAGTATCCAAAGGTAACTTCTTCTTCATTGTGTATTTTGAAAGATAGGATGTAAGAGTTCCTCCACCAACATATTCCACAACTATGCAACATCCATTTACTGAACCTTTTTGACATTTCATTTTTATATTTGACATATTATTCTTTTTTATAGCTCCAATAAACTGCACAAAATTAATATATATAAATAATTGCCATCAGCTAATATTCTATTATATATGCTCAATGAGAAAAGAAAGGAGGATATTTCTTTAATTTGGCTTCAACGGACATGCATGGCAAGTCCTCCAACTTTGATTGTGCATAAGTAGGAACTTAAATTTGTTTAAAATTAAACAGATAGACACACAAGTCCTACATCGCATACATAATACACGTAGGATACCACATAGGATACAAAACTTTCATGTAGGACGCTACATAGGATGAATGTGTCTATTTATTTAATTTTATACAAGTTTAAGTGTCTACATGTACACACTCAAAATTAGAAGGCATAGATGCTAGTTGATACCAAGTTAAAAGGCATATTCATGTATTAAGCGTATTTCAAATAAATGCTTCAATAGATGGGAAGTTACTTTGTAAATAAACGAATAATATTATAAGGAAAAAGAGAAAATAATTAAGTAGATATGTACCTTGGCAATATTGGAGTGTTCAAGAGTGCTCCAAATAGAAACTTCTTGCATGAATACCTCTTCCATCAATTCTACTGATGAATTCTTCTTTTCATCTCCCAAATCAAATATTTTAACTGAAATTCATAGAAAGAATGTGTATTAATTAAAAGTCACCAATTTTTTTATTAATGCATACTACCTATGAACACATAATTAGAATCTATCTATATATAAAAGGAGAAGAAAAAATGACACATGTCAACACCACAAATTTTCAGTATTTAAAATAAATTTTAAATAATTAAGAATCAATAATTAAATAAATAAATATAGACACATGTCAATAATTATAATTAGAACGACACATGTCAACACAACAATTTTTTTAATTTTAAAATTTAACTAATTTTAAATAATCAATAATTAATTAAATAAATATAGACACATGTCAATAATCTCTATTATATATATATAAAAAAATTTAAGTTCAGTAAGCAATGTATACACAAATGCACGTTTCATGTTATTAGATGCGGTAATTTTGTTACACATATTAAATACAGTCTTTATTATTGAAATGAAAATTAATTAAAAGTCTATGTAAAATAATGATAAAAAATCAACTAACTACCTACTAACTTCCCAATTCTATCTTAAATTAAAAAACTGCTGGAATTTTTTTTTATTATAAACTAATTTAAATTTTTCAAATTAATTTTTTAGTAATTAAAATTCTCAATTATTAATGGAAAAAAAATCAACTAACTACCGACTAACTTCCCAATTCTATCTTAAATTAAAAACTGCTAGAATTTTTTTTTTATAAACTAATTAAAAAAATTCAAATTAATTTTATAGTAATTAAAATTCTCAATTATTAGGTTTAAAAAATATTATATATATCAAGAGACGAGAATTGCTATCCTATTTTTTAAATCTACCGCCTACAATTTTTCACTCTTCTTTTCTCTTTGTTCTCAAATCTCAATAATGGTGAAGAAATGGCTTGATACATACTCATATTGATCTTCTTAACATGTTAATGGGACAAACTAATATTTCTACAACAACACTTCTTTAAAGGTATAATGTCAATTTTCTCTCTAAATTTACTTTCATATTTTTCTTAATAATGCCACATATGTTATCAATCTTCATTATACTAGAAGAAGAAGAATTTGGGTGATTCCAGGAGTTCTACTCACCCAAATTCAATTTTGTAAAGTCGTACGGATTCCTTAACGAGTTATCTAACCACTCATGTAATCAAAATAATAAATAATCACCCGATTGTTACCAGATTTCTCTACACATCAAGGACTCTGATTTCGTCCAAATGTGGACAAGGTTAGGAAAATCCATATACTACGAAAAAGTTTTTCGACCCCAAATTTTCTCCCATTGACATTTATATAACGACGGGAACAGGTCGTTACAAATGCACTAAGGCCTTAGAAAATAATTGGTTGCCCTTTTTACCCTTTGAATATATATTTCACACTAGTTAAAATTGTAAATTAACAGTTATATATTTTACAATATTTATGATTTTAGATTATGGAAGCTTTCTTTTTCTTTTTTTGCTTATATAAATTTATTGACTGATACGAGACACACATGCAAAGTGTTCACTAAATCAGTTATAATTTAAAGTCGTAGGAAATTAAATTTATCGTTATTTTCTACTTCTAAATTTCTCTAATTACTTCAATTTGAATCAATCAAGTTTAATATTGGCTTTGTAAGATTGTCTTCAGTTTTTTGAGATGTCTTGTTAGATATTTCAAGTTCAAACTAATTGGATTATCAAATAATTAAATATATAAAGTTATAATGGTGTCTTCTTAATTATGAACATCTTTCAAAGCTCAATAACCACTACAATATTGATGATTTAGATATGTTCTCATAATTAAAAGTAATATGAAATATTATACAAGTAAAAATGATACTTTAATTGGTTATTCAATAAGATTAAGTCTTAATTTTATTTTTAAATATTTCTACTACTTCTAGAATAATTTTGATACTTATATATATATATATATATTTGTGATTTCAAAATATTACAAAAACAAAAAATATTATGGTGTCAATTGAAAAAAAAATACTACTTATCAATTGTAAGTAATTATCATATATTTTAGGACCTTATTTAAAAGAATTTTTTAGGTCACCTATTTTATTGGAGTGACTTGGTTTGCCATTTCTTTTAGCTTACTTTTAATAGGGTGAATCAAGATTTATACTCATTAAAATTTTATTATACACATTACTATGTTTATACCTTACCTTGTTGAATTTCCCTACAAAAAAGTTATTACTATCAACTTAAAAATAGATTAAACTCAAATCCGAAATAACAAATTAAACTATGCCTTTAATTGCCAAAAGTTACTCAACTCTACTTGGTCATTTACATTTACCCCTCATTCATACTATATTATATGTATTATAAGAAAATTTGATATACATATTCTATTTTAAATTTACCTTTGAATGAAAAGTAGCAATAGAAAATATACATGAATGAAAATTAGTATTTACATGAAACATGTTTTTCATCTTAAAGGCCATTGTAAGCTGATTCCAAACCTCAAATGACAATAAATTTTCAAAGGATTTAATTCTCAAATATTAAGTAGTAGTTTTTTATGTACAATGAATTGTAATGTGTCCACCATCGCGTATAATATATGGTATAGTAATAGTAATAATTAGTAAATACTTTTATAGATATAATGAGCTTACTTAAATGATTATATATTAGGAAACTATAATCCATTTTCGAGATGGAAGGGGATTAATTAAATAGAAGGTTCTAAGAATGATTATAATGTATTATTTATTCTTTATTTTAAATTGATTTGTAATTTTTCTAATATTTAGTCGTCTAATTAATATCAATAAAATTTAATAAAATTATTAAAATGAGCATCTTATTATTATTTTTTTAAAAATAGTTCAAAATAAAATTTGTGTTTCAACAAAATTTAATGAAAAAATTATTTGTGATTGGGTGACTTTCTAAGCGAAATATAATAGTTGAATGACTTTGTAGGTAAAATATTCACAATTGAGTGACTTTGAGGTTATAAAAGAAAGTTGAGTGAGAAGAATCCTTAGTTGAGTGACTTTATGCGAGAAGAATATTTAGTTGAGTGACTTCGAGTATTAAAAGATGTAGATTTTACACAAATCTCATAGTGTTAAGAGTTAATTACAATCCATAGTTTTTTCAAATTACAAAAATCTCTTAAATTAGGTGGAATCCCGATACATTCCAAAAACGTCCTGATACATATCGCGTCCTGGTTTTGGATACATTCCTCAAAGTCCTGATACATCGCGTCTCGATTTTGAATACATCACTCAGTGTCCCGATACATCGCGTACATCCTGATACATCGTGTAAAGTGATGTATCTAATCGATACATCGCATAAAGTGATATATCCAATCGATACATTGTGTAAAGTGATAGCATTTGACTGATACATCGCGTAAAGTAACATCCCGACACATCACATACGTCCCGATACATCGTAAAGTGATGTATCCGATAGATACATCGCGTAAAGTAATATATCCGACCGATACATCGCATAACGTAGGGATTTTTGTAATTTTTTCAAATGGTAGGGAAATTTAGAGAATATAATAAAATAAGTTGTGTTAAAAGAAAGTTGAATAACTTTCTGTGAAAAAACTATTAGTTGAATGACCATATGATATATTAAATCGGAAAAACTAATAAGATATAGTATTATTTTTTCTGACATTAATTACTTCATCGTCTAAATTTTTCATCTATTATATCAATTACATTTATCAATAAAATCTAGCATCAAGAACTCACTATTTGGTCATTATAATCGGTATGTTCTTAAACCACTTAGACTAAACAAATTCAATTGTTATTCTAAAATACAAAATAAGGAATAAATAATAACAATTAAATGGGCTTAGGCCTTAGGGTACAATAATTGATTTCATAGAGTAATTTCCCTAGATAGTCACCATGTTTGGAAAATTATCTAGTAATATCACTTATGTTTGTTTTAGGACTACAATATCACCCAACTTTATCTATTTTCGTCAAAATATATTTGACACAAAAAAATATTATCTCTCTCCTACTGGAATGCCATGCCACCTTTTTTTTTTATTAATAATTTTTTTTAATTCTTTAAATGTCTGTAGGCTCCTAATACTAAGTAGTTTAGTTGTAGAACTCCTACATTAGGAATTGAAGTGTTTGTGCCCCTGTTGCATGTCTATTTATTTCAAACATTTAACCACCATTATAAATCGAGGTTTATTTTAATACAAAGAAAATAACAATTTAGATAGATAAAGAAAATAATAGATAGTTAAAATATGAAATTCGTGAAAAATAATATTTAATTAAGTATTTTTTTACTATTAACTTGAAAAATACCATGTTATAAAAACAAGTAAAAGTAATTAGTTAGTATACGTGTGTATTTATTATGTGCGTGATTTTCTTCGCACAAAAAATCTCCTTATTAATCGTAAAGATAAAACCATGTCGATTCTCACAAGAAATCGAGAGCGGAGCTAACCTTCGGTTACACAGAATTTAGTTATATTTATGATTTTAAAATTATTAAAAAATATATAAAATATTGATTTAGAACTCTCTACTTTAAAGAACTAAAATTTAAAAAATACATGACTAGACACACGTGTCTATGCTAGCACAAGCTCAATATCTGTTATTTTAATTTATGTGATGTCGATAAATTTACAAAGTTAATTAAATTTTAATATGATTTTAGATATTTTAAGTTGTTAGTTACTTTTTGTTTGCGCAAATTTAATGTGAAGCGGTTCATTAAGATGTCCATAATTAAAGTATTTTTCGTCATCGATCATTGATTTTATACTCAAAGTAGCTACAAGATAGTACCGATATCCAAAATAATAAAGCTATAACTAAAGAATATGAATTTAAAACTAAAAGATATAGCTTAAAGAATTAAAAAAATATTATTAATAAAAAAAAATGTGACATGGCATCCCATTAGGAGAGAGATAATGTTTTTTTTTTTGTGTCAAGTATATTTTAAGGAAAATAGGTAAAGTTAGGTGATATTGTAGTTCTAAAACAAACATAAGTGATATTACTAGGTAATTTCCTAAACATGGGTGACTGACTATCTAGGGAAATTACTGTGATTTCATATATAGGTTATTAGGCATAGCAATGAACATTTGAGCTAATGCCTAATAGATAGGGCTAATAGCTAAATATAAGATATCAAATTGCAGAAAACAAATGGTAAAAGTCAATGAACTAGCATTTCACGGTAGTTCTCATTTTTGCATATTTGTTAATTACTTCATTTTCCCCCTATCGTTCTTTGATTTGGTCCTCGTGAACACTACCAAAAAAATAATAATAATCTATTTTCCCACTATACTTTTTATTGAAAAATATTCTGTGGCTATTCTCAAAGTTATTTAAAATGAAATGGTGAAGAAAAAAAAGTAGTAATGTTTTCATATTGAAAAATTTAAAAGTTTCTTACTACTCAATGGACATATATTTTTCATCATGTATTTTTTTAGTAAGTTGATTTGGTAGAAAATGAATGAAAAAAATTATCTTCAATAGCAAAAATTCTCCACTAATTTAAGATGAAAAACACTTATATTTCTAATAATCGAAAGAATCGCAAGGAAATAAACCTTTCACAAGATACAAAGGCAGAGAAGTACATTTGTGTTGAGATTAAAACATTAATCGTGCTATGCAGATATTAATAATTGCAAAATTTGAATGACCAGAAATCAAACAACAGATTAAATCTATTAAAAAATGCATAATATTTAATAAGGAGTTTAATTGCAAAAAAAAAAGAAAAAAAGACAATAGCGCAAATTCCACCCCTTCCTATACGGAAGGAGGAAAAATAAAAATGGTCAGAGATTGGAGAAAAGATCAAAGGTCAAAATATTATTCAAAGGTCACGTATAAATTAATAAACTAGAAGTCATGACTTTAAATATTTTCCATATATCAACAAGGCTCTATATCTCTAACTCCTTCGTGTTATATATATATTCGACTTCAACTAATTTTGAAATGTTATATGTATCTATATTATAACTTTTTTTACGAGCACATATCAAGTTTAATTAAGAATATCGAAGTGAAGAACAAGGAAAATCGAAGCAAATCATAAATCAACATCATCAATTACATTAATCACGCAATTTCTAATGACTGATTCTGCAGTTATCCTTGAAGAACTCTTGTTAGTTTAAATTAATCTCTATCATTTTTATTTTCTGTATAATTTTCATCAAAACAATTTGAATTTTATTTCTTATAATTATAATAATTTATACAGATGGAAGGCACTAAATTTTGCAACTCTTACACAAAGTTCTGTTTCTTTCTTTGACGTTGGAAAGACAGAGACAACAGTTTCGCGCTGGGGGCGAGCTCAAATCCGAGCTTCAAAGGTACAGTATAACAATTACTCTGTCCGTCCCAATTTATATGACACTTTTCGGATTTCGAAATTTACACAAGTCTATCTTTGACCGTAAATTTTTTATACATCTTTTAAATATTTTGAATTGTCAATTAGTACTTTTTACGTAGTTTATAAATATAAAAAATTTAATTTAAAAAATTTGAAGATTCCATAAGTAAATTGCCAATCAAACTTAAATTGTTTGACTCTCGAAAAATGAAAAGTGTCATATAAATTGAGACAAAAAGAGTAACATTTTCCACTATAATGATCAATTTTTTATCAGAACGTTATTTCATATTTGTCATTATAAAGAGATTTGACTGGATTTTTCATATATTATAGTATTATACCATGGAAAGAAGATCTTAAAGTTATCGCAAAAGACTAAGGTGTCAAATGAGCAGGTCGACCAATATTTGATCAATGTTTGTTTGAGTCAAATAAGCAAATCGATCAGTTTGGCTAAATTAAAGAGTCATTTGTTCGACTCGTGAAAATCATTTACTAATTTTTATATAATTTGTTGGGTGTAGATTGGAAAGGGCTCGTCAAAGAATGAGAAGGCTCAAAAACTAGCTATCAAGAGCTGGTTAGAAGCTGTAAGTGAAATATGTTCTCTTATAAAGCACAAAATTAATATTTGTTATGCACTTCATATTAATTCCATTTTAATCCATAGCTAATTTCTCGCAATTTTTATTATGGTTATTTTTCTGAGCTAATTTCACGATATATTTGACGAATTTATTGCTAGTAGTTTTCTTGACAACATTTTTTTTTTAATGCAAATTCAGATAGACCCACGCCATCGATATGGTGTCAACCTAAATCGTTATCATGATGTGTGGTGCAACAGTGGAAGTTCACAACCATTTTTCTACTGGTATGTACTATTTAGAACTACAAGAAAACTAAAATTAGTTATGAATCTCATTGATAATCTGTTGTTAAATTGTTCGTCCCTAACATTTCTTTAAAACAAGTGTTGCTAATCTATTCTAACTAGGATTAGCAATGAAATTTTTGTTTAGCTATAAAATTTATCCATGACTACTTCTTAGCTTTTTAGTAGCTACAACCAAAAAAAATAAAAATTGGTGATATTTTTAGAAGCTCAATTATATAATAGTGATCACTAGCTAGCTACTTATTTTTATTATTAATTTTGTTTGTGCACTATAAAAATTACAGGTTAGATATTGGTGATGGAAAAGAAGTTATTGTGGAGCAATGTTCAAGGAGTGATCTACAGTCCCAATGCATCAAGTATCTTGGACCAGTAGGCATTTTATTGCCAATTTTAGTCTGATTATAGTAAAAATAAGGATATAATAATTATCAGTATAGTTTATATTTCTAATGTTTGTCCAACAGTCATCCTTTATAACAATATTTCTAACGATTTCTTGTATCCTACAATCAAACCTCTTTAAAAACGTCGTTTATCCAGATATTTTTTTTTACTGTTATAACAAAATGTTAGTATTATAATGAACATATATAACGACATAACATGAAAAGAAAATCCGAATATATATATATAGGGAAATGTTGTTATAGAAGACGATTGTTGGTTGGGATGGTGTATTTACTATGAAATATTTTTTTTGTAATTAATGCAGAAAGAGAGGGAAGCATATGAAGTAATTGTGAAGAATGGAAAGCTTATTTACAAGAAAAATGGTGTTTGTGTGGACACAATTGAGGGTACCAAATGGATATTTGTTCTCAGTACCTCAAGGACCTTATATGTTGGTCAGAAGCAAAGACACCATTTTCACCATTCCAGTTTTCTAGCTGGAGGTGCTTCTCTTTCATCTGGAAGATTGGTCGTCTCTAATGGGGACCTCGAGGTACGTATTTTATGAGTTTTGAATTTTAAATCAAATCACTTCAAGTGTTAATAATTATATTCTAAATTTAATATTTGTACATATTCATGAACAAAAACGTATACAGCCTACAGGCTTCTAGCTCCGCCTTTGATCGATGTCTTTGTATACAAATTCTCTTTCTTATACCCACCCTCCAACACATCTCACGACACCCCTTATTCCGATCCCACCCTATAATATTTACCTGAATTATATATAAGTATTTTTGTGATAATACTTTTTATTACTTACCAATCTGCACTAAAAAATAGATAAAAAAAAATATATCTTGATAAATATTTTTGGTGATTTTTTTTTTTTTTCCTCATGTAATTAATTTTGACAGGCAATATGGGCATACAGTGGTCATTATAGACCAACAGAAGAGCATATTGAGGAGATAATAAGCTTTCTTCAGGACCACCATGTTGACCTCACCAGTGTTAAGGTCAATATATTTATAAATTGATGCTATTTTAAATTAGTTGATCTGCTAAATATGGATTATTAATATAATTAAGGTACGTAAGGATTAATTAACTAACTATATTTTTATTTTTATTTTGTTCTTAATCCAGAAATTCGCGATAGATGATGACATAGTACCCGGCAAGTCAAAAATATCAAATGAATCAAAAGATGATTGCACCAAATAAAAGAGAAAATTCGAATAAATCATTTTTCTCAAGTCATAGGAGGAGAAAGTTTCCTATACGTTTTTTGCAAGCACTTTCATGTAAACAACTTATAGGGAAATTATAATAGTAGTGTTCTTTATTAATCATTGTCTACTTCATAAAAAAAAGTATAACAAAAATAAATATGATTTTAGTGCACCCTGTTATTCAGTACATTTAGTTTATATTCAAGAGAGAAATATATATTTTATTTTAAACATATTTATTTGATTTCTTATAGAAACATGTTTTGATTTTATTCATTAAATTTACGCCTGTATGGATATGTCCATGAAATTTAATTTGGATTCAAGATTCAAATCAAGTAATAAAAAATGATTCAAATTCAAAAAAATTAAAATCTTAAAATTTGAAATTCTAATAAATGTTACCAGGAAAAAGACCAGATATAAAGAGGGAGGAACATCAGTTGATTTCAGAAAACGACATGAGAAAGAACCAACAAAAATGTCGATTAGACAATATTTAAGTGAAATAACTAAGAGTAAAATGGTAAATTTTAACTCATTTTCATACTAAAATAAAACACAAAGAATATAACTTTGCTTACGAACCAAACAATACAATACAATACAAGAGAACAACTTTTTGCAAGCTTGGAAATGAACAACCAAAGTACACAATTACTAGATTTCAGAAGTTTACCCATTTTGAAATTACTGTGTCTGGAATTTCATATGGTTAATTCCACGCACATGTGATTGAAACTCAACCATTTTATCTAAACTTAGTCATTTTTACCAACCAGTTAGGGCAAAGTGTTCATTCATAACTTCAACAACATCGAGATGTTGGCCCATGACCGTATTTACTTCATCTTCAAGAGCAAGCATCCTAGCTCTCAGGGCTTCAGGCGACCAATGAAATGTATATGCAATTTCTTATATTAGAGTCCATAATTATATCAAAATAGATAGATGCCCCCAAAAAAGAGGATACAGATCAAATAATGATATCCAAATAAGATATCCATGAAATTTTTACAATCGAAACATGGAAGTAGTTTTAAGGTCCTTTGCACTTTTGTCCTGGTCTTTAATTTTTGTCCATCATTACAAATAACTTTTTTTGTGAAGTACAAATTTATATTTTCTAATCATCACGTCACAAATTATGTCCGCATGACTTCTACCCTTAAAAGAACTTATGTCCTGCCAGATAGAAGTCCAATTTTCAAAATATAAAAAATAAAAATCAACTCATTTGAAAGGTAATACGCTTAATTTCATCGTACTTTGTCAATTTTTTTTGTTTTCTACCCGGTATATGGTATCCACATTAGAGCTCGACTAAATTCGGATTTGCATCGAAAAGTCCCACATTGGGAGTAAAACGCTCTCTAATAAAGGTGACTTTGTACCCAAGAGAGCTCGAACCCGAAACCTCTTTGATTAAGGATTAAGGAGTAGTTACCACTCCACCACAACCCTTGTTGGTCGTTATACTTTGTCATTGCTATGTCTTTTATATAAATTAAATTTTGTGTTTAGTCAAACTCCGTCAAATCGAGACGGAGGGAGCAATAGTTCATGGAATAAGGCGCACGGAACCCACGTCGTGAGGCGCGGGGACTTTGTTTGATTATTACTTCGCACTTTACACGCAAATTTATTAAAAGCATGTTTTAACTAATCTTATTTTCCGGAAATTCCTTTCACTTTCCCACTAGTTTATTGTATTGTGTCAGTTTAAACTAAGGTCGGAAAGTGCAAAAGTCATCCAAAACGACGTCGTTCTTCTTTCCAAAAACTATCCGTTACAGCTTTTTCCTTTATTTCGAATTTTAAAATTCAAAATCAAAGAAACTCATAGCTGTAGTAATTAAAGCTCCTCAAATCTCTTCGAATTCTCAAATCCCAACATTTATCTTTAAGTTCCAGACACCATTTTCTAAAATTGTTTTGTCTGTTCTGTTTTTCCTCAAAACAAAAACCATTTATCAAGCTGCAGAAACTGTATCAAGATCATATTTTTCAAGAATCGTGAAGAAATGGGTGGTTCAGGGAAGTGGATTAAATCTTTAATCGGCTTAAAAAAGAATCAATCAAATGATTCTGTAAGTTGAATTGGCTAATTCTAGTATACTCTGTTTCTGTTTTATTTTTTGTTGATGTTTTTTGATAATTTGAATTGTTTTATTTGGGGGATTTTGTAGGAGAAGGGTAGTGGAAAGAATAGAAAATGGAAGCTGTGGAGGAGTGCATCGGGTGGAATTGCTATGGCGTTTTCGAAAGGTGTAAAAGGGGGTGGGAATTTAGGAGATTCGGATGAATCTGAATCTTCATTCCTGTCTGACAGTGCTTTGGCTGCTGCTATGGCTACTGTCATCAGAGCTCCACACAAGGATTTTGTGGTTGTGAAACAAGAATGGGCTGCTCTTCGAATTCAGGCTGCGTTTCGTGGTTTTCTGGTAATTTGAATGACTTGGGACCCAAAGTTGTTAACTTTTTTGTTATACTTGGTTCAGCTTATTAATCCGTGTAGAAGATTAGTAGATAGTTAAGCGCTGTCTTGCTTTTCGATGTGATTTGGCTTGGTGTTAGTCTAGAGCACCGTGTTTGTTGTGGTATTAGCCTATTCATGTAGTTTCTTGCTATTGATATCTGTTACCATCTTTTATCCTCTGTGTTTTGGTTATCGTATCAATTTGTTGTTGCTACTGTGCATTTTCTGTATAATTAGTAGATAGGTAACTGCTTGATTGTATGTTGAGTGACAAAAAACTAGACCTATAACACCTTATATCCTTATGTTTTTCTCTCTTGTGTGAGATGAGCTTAAATGGAGCGACTATGTTAGTGTTGACTCGAGATTGAGGCATAGTTGTTGTATGGTATTCTTTCTCTAAATGTAGAGATGTTATTATGTCCTTGTAATATTTTTGCTCCCACTTGATCTTTTGCAAATGATTTATATAGTTAATGAGAAATTTTTATTGTTATGTCAAAAGGCAAGGCGCGCGTTAAGGGCACTCAAAGCAGTGGTTAGGCTACAAGCTATATTTCGTGGGCGACAGGTGAGAAAGCAAGCTGATGTAACCCTCAAGTGTATGCAGACTCTTGTCAAGCTGCAGTCTCGAGTTAGAGCCCGATGCCATCAAACATCCGTTGATGCTACACAAGGGTCTCTTGTTGATAGCCAAGCTGATCCAATTAAGCAAGCTGAGGTATGTAGTTTCTCTATAAACAGTATTGTTTGTCCTGATATGTATTTTTTAGCTGCTATAGCGAAATGCTGTTATAGAGAATATATTCATTGGTTCTACCAAAATCATGGTTGTTAATAGTGAAATGTTAGTACACAGGATGACTGTTATTGAGAAGTTTGACTATATTATTGTTGCTTCAAACTATCTTACTTTTCGTTTTCTCAGGGTGGATGGTGTGATAGCCCTGGCACAGTGGATGAAGTGAGGTGTAAGTTGAAAATGAGACAAGTTGGAGCAATTAAGAGGGAGAGAGCCATTGCATATGCCCAACAGGTATCATTTTTAACTCCTTAAACATGTAATATGACACAAATTTCTCTATACATGTAACTAACTGGCCTGAAAATATATTCAATTGATCTATTTCAGAAACTGAGAACAAACTCCAGCCCGAATTCAAGAACAAGGAAAGTTGAAACCCCGAATAAGATTAAGGCTAATGGGGATTCAGTTTGGTTAGAACGTTGGATGGCGAATAAGCCTTGGGAAAACAGACTGGTGGAAGATTTCCATACTGATGCATCAGGGATGACTCCGAGTTCTAGGAAGTATGAAGATTATGATGCTGGATCTTTCACTGACCGTAGTTCGGTGAACATTAGGCGGAATAACATGTCTACCAGGATATCTACAAGAGGACCAATGAGTTGTCAAATTGCTAATTCATCTTCTGAGCCTTATACTGATTATTATCAATATGATGATAGTACAACTTCTCATTCTTCCATATCGACTTCTGAAACTCTTGGATCGAATCAGACACCTCCAGAAGAGGGACATAGCAAGAAACCAAACTACATGAATCTCACAAAGTCTATTAAGGCGAAGGTTAAGCAGAGGAATTCAAATTACTTGTCTCACAGTATGCAGAGGAATTCAACTGATAACTTACAAGTCCATAGGAAGTCAAGTCCACTTTCGAGGACGATAGCAAGGAGAAGTGCTGATTGTGATCTTTATTCAGTTGATCTGTGTAAGGATCTCTACCCTCCCTCAAATGCATTTTGATCAATTAATCTGGAAGACGAAAGGCGATTGGTGTTATGAAAGGGGAGTGTTAGTGAGTTTTATTTGTCCATTTAGCTCAACAACTTGTTGTCTTGATAGTAAAAATGAGTTTCTTTTGTTTACATAAATTTAGACTTAACCAATACATAATGCATTAGATGAGATTTTCTCTAGAAAGCTGATTTACGAGTTGATTGCTGTGATGATCACTCAACTAGTAGTAATTATCTCGGAAAGTCTTTGTATCATACTGTGTTCTATTTGTTGATTGTGTATGAGTTTCTGTTTGTTTTCGGACAACTTATTCGTTGCCTTAACATATATATTGGATGGATAATGTTTTTGCTCTTGATTCGGGTTATTTATGCAGGTAAATTTTTAGAAATATAACATCCTCCAGTATATCAAATCAGATATATGAGGACTTTTAAAGAAATGTATGAAGGTCTTGAACAACTTCACTTGTTAAGTTTATATTTAATGTTAAAAGTTCATATTCTCTCATATTCAATTGGTAAACAACAAGTCAACAAGACTTAGAACTGGAATATCACTAGAGAAAACACACACTTTGTTTCAATTTATGTGATATTGTTTCCTTTTAGTATCCATTCCAAAAAAAAAAAATGACACATATCTATATTTGAAAACATTTAACTTTAACACATTTTGTGTTACCTTTGTGGTTTGTGGATAAGATTATAGTCGCATGAATATTTATGACATGTATAAGGTCACAGATCTAGAGGCTGATCCAAAACTTGAAGTTTCTGAATTCTAGCTAGCCGCTTTGAGTAAACCTTACCCCAACGGCCCAATCGGGTGTCAACCTATGGTTTAGCATGCATCTATTAATTTGGTGTAAACGACGGGTGTAAATAAATTTACGATCTTTTCGTGTTATAAATTGAAATCTAGATTAATAATTTGTATATATTAAATGATAATTTCTTTAAGATAATGAAAAAGTCTGAATCAAAGTTATTTGGGTTTTGCTGAACCCGCACCTTCTACTCTATCTCCGCTTTTGAAGTTAGCCATTACACAAATATTATGACATTTAGAATTATGCATTTCAATTAGAAAATCTTTCCTTTCTTGAAATATACGTTGATTCAAACTATATGTTATAAATTGATATAGAGGGTATATTTCTTTCATTCTTTTAATTATGAGTCACAACTATAAGGTACAAAATATGGAAGTGAATGAAAAATTACTGAAGCCCATATTTTGGGCTTGCTTAAAGATTGGATCACATGCATGCATCAATTTGGACAATGATGGTTTTTTTACAAGAGAAGAAATAATAATGAATCTCATCTTGAGGTTTTCAAACTTCATCCCATTTTTGTGCTTCAAATAGACTACTCATGAAGAATGGATATATCGTTGGTGAGTCCCATCTCAAGAAGGACATTTGAGCATTTTATATAAATTCCATTAAAGGTTTTAATGACTTTGAATGAAATGTCCTTAACTCAATTGCTGCTAAATGTTTTTGTTGCAATACTAAAAGGAAAATATATTAATGTTTCTTTTGTTGTAGTGCATGTGTAGCGGGAGCTTAGTGTACTGAATTTCCCTTAAGATCTTGAAGCTGGGAGTCTTGGAGTAACTGATTTCGAGTTGTGAAAACAGTCTCTTGCAAAAATGTAGAAGTAAGGTTGTGTATAGATCCTTATAAACCGATCATTTTTCAAATCTTATACATAGCGGGAGCTTAGTGTGCCGAGTTATCCTCCACTATGTACTAAGATCTTGAGCTTGAAATATAAGTTATGCATGTGAGGATTTGGAGCTTAATATTTCTGTTATAAGATTCTGTTTGAGATGGAAATAATTGATAGTAAGAGCCAAAGAAGTACTACTTGCTCGAGTTTGGATTTTGACTGATTTTAGGACCATTAAGACATGATATTAAATCATGATCTGAAATTAAGTTAGTTAAAAATTAAAATTTAATTTGAACATATAATTTGAATTTTGCAAGTTATGTTTTCTCTAATTAACATGAAAACGCTAAGATTTGATTTAATATGTCACAAAGATAATGTTTGTAAGTTTTGTCTTCATAGCTAAATTGTTATCTCAAAGATTCTACCTAGCCATAGGTATCCAATGTTCTGTCTGCTGTAAAAATTGTAACCCACAAATTGGGTTTGACGAGAATAGAGTGTACATAGATTTTATTCTTATTTCGGGGATGGAGAGAGGATCGGATAGACCATAGGCTCAAGGAAACTATAAACACAATATTTATTAAAACATAAATAGTAATAACAACGAGAAAGTAATTAGAAAATTGAAGCATAAGAGACAACCCTTAATAATAGAAAACTAAGAATGAGAAATATAGAAATAATAAAAATACCGAAACTATCTACTACTAGTCTTTTACCTTAATTCTCGACTTCCACAACATGTTATCGAAATAGTCTAAATATATTTTCTATTGTTATTATAATTTAATTGATTATACAAGTTACAAAATATAATGTATAGTTTTATTTTTGTTTTTGGTCCTCTCTATTTAAATATTTTTTTAATTGCATTCACTAATGTCTACTTAAACTGAAACACATTAAAATTGAAAAGAAAAAAGAATTAGAGAGTGTGTGAAAGTGACAAGTACCAAAAAGCTATGATTTTGGTAGATAAAAGACAAGAATGTTGATAGGAATTTCCTTATTAATAAGTTGGGATAAGAAACAAAATTTAAGCAAAGGATGTGTCCCCTAAAAAGCAAATAAACACCTTGTGCCATTAATTGTTGCATGTGCAAACTATATACAAATTCAAGATTCTTGTTTGGTCCCCTTTAATTCTTTTATACTTCCCTCTCAAGCATCAACATATAATTTGTCGTTACGTATTCAGCCGAGCTCAATAACTTTAGTTCAAATTCAATAGATTATTAATTTTAAAATTTATCAACTTAAGAAAAATTTAAAATTCATAAGCTTCAAATTCTAACTCCATCTGATGTGACGTCTCAAACCAATGACTTTTTTTTTTTTGATTTGTTAAGCAAGACTTGAAAAGGAATAAAAGACTGTTTCAAACATTTGGTCCCATTCGTTTCTTTGCTTTTTCTGAAGTCTTTTTTTAATTTACCATTAACCACATGTTTGAATGATCATTTTCAACGACGATTATATATTCAGTCGAGCTCACAATAATTTTTAATTTAAATTCTATAGATTATTAATTTAGAATATATCAACTTAAGAAAAATACGTAAATTTCAGAATTCATGAATTTTAAATTTCAACTTCACTTGATATGATATCTCGAACCAACTTAACTGTTAGGGTTTTGCTCTGATTTTCTTACCTTATTTGAAGTTTATTTTTTCTCAAAATAAAGTAAAAGTATTACCATAAATGTTTGAACTTTTCGTGAAAGGAAAACATTATTTTCTTCCATATTTGGTTTATTCTTTCCTTGGAGGAAAAGTTTGGAACTCTATAAATTGAAGACCCTCTTTTCATACCAACAACAATACAATGGAATCTACAATGTAGTCGTTTAGAGAGTTTTGTTTATGAGAAGATTTTCTCTCTACTTTTAATTAGTTTTTAATTATGTAGGTCAATTGGTCATATCAAATAATAATATTATGGCTTTTAGTATAGTTTTATGTGTCGTCTAATTTATTGACATATGATTTGCAATTGTAAGCTTCCGCATGACGTTCTAATCACATTCCAACCCAACATTTACAATGAATAGAAGACTATTTCAGAGCATTTGGTCCCATTTATTTCTTTGCTTTTTTGAAATCTTTTTTTGATTTTACCATTAACCACATTTTTGAATGATCATTTTCAAAAATCTATGCATTTAATGTGGTTCTCATGGTGGTCGATATATTCCAAAATTGCCTACATGCTCGAATGTCATTTAACGAAACTGCTTACTCTTTTTAGATATCTACTCTTGTTATAGGCTTTGCCCCCTCCTCACTTAGGGTTCCCATTGAAAATCAATGTTTGTTATATTTATTTATTTTTGATTATTACATATGTTAGGGGTAAAGTCGGTGTACATCTCTTTATAAATTTTACTTGTGCGATCATAAGCGATATGTTATTGTTGTAATTAGAGGCGCACTCAGAATTTGAGTTCAACAAGGGCACCACTAACTTTAGTATACAAATGTATGCGGTGATGGAATAAGGATTTTCATTAAAGAAAGGCGAAATGACATGGGAGGCCCCTATACTTGGTTTCGTTTGTAAGTTGAACCCTTCTTCTCATCACTTTGCCAAATGAACCCTTAAACTCGATGAAACTCTATTTTTTAAACCCGTCTAACCATTGACCGAGCTTATGCGGCACTAAAATGGTTGAGTTGGACAAATGCGTGACCACACGTGTTTTGAAGCAAGTGAATACAATATTGTTATTTTAAAATTGTCAAAATTATGAGACAAAACAATAATAATAAATTTTTAATTTTTTTTTTTTGAAAACCTCCTTCTTCACTTCACCCCCACCCCCACCCTCTCCCGCCCCGATTCCTTTTCTCTTCTTCTTCTTTCTTCTTCAACCTCAGCCCCCATCCACACACACCCCCAACCACCCACCCTCCCTCGCCCTACTCCTTTTCTCTTCTTCTTCTTTGACATACACATTATCACTATAAAATCACCAAATAAAAATTTGAAAAAAGTTTTTGCAAGAAAATATACCATTTACCATTTTTATAAGCTTAATTCTTTAAGATCTATTACTTGAATTTACATATAAACATATTTTTTCTAATTTGAAGTTTTCTTGATATTTCTTTTTATCAAATCAAAATAAATAGAACCATAATGCAAGAAGTCATTATAATCTATCACATTTTGTGATTGAGGATATTTTTGAGTGTGAACTATGAAGAAAGATGAAAATTGTGGTTGTTATTTTTGGGATGAAAATGGTAGAAGGTGGGAACAAAGAAGATGAAGTGGGAAGGGGGTGAAATAAGCACAGTGAGAGAGAAAACAAAATTGTATTTGTTTTAATATTATTTATTTTTAAATATTTAATTTCTGATGTGTCATTAGAATAATAATAATAATGATGATGTGTCATTAAAAAATGAGGTGGTATTTCATGGGTAAAATGAGTGTACGCACACCCATCAGATGAGAAAGGGGTCTAAAATATTGTGTTTAAATGAGTTTAAAGGTTCAGTTGACAAAGTCATAAGTACAGGGATCCAACTTACAAATCAAGTCAAGTACAAGGGCCTCTCA